ACTCATTCCTTTCCGTTTATATTCCTATTGCCTGAGGCCAGAGGCTTAACTTGTCTGTTATTTTCCAACATACGCTGCATTATGGCATAATATTAAATTTTCTAAAACACATGCTTTCTGGATACTCAGCCTCAGAAGTGGAGGTCACCTCATTACACGCAGCATAAATTCTAAATGAGTCAGACTGGAATCCAGGCTTCTGATAAACTGGGTTTCTTCGTCCATTAATTACCAACTAATCAAATGTCTCACAGTTCCCTAATGATAGGCCTCTGCTCAGTGAGGCACTTTTGTCACACTAAACCCAAGAATGTCCTTCCTGTTCCTGTTCCTACTTATTCAAATTTTACTCTTTTCTTAAATTCCTCAGTTCCCAGCTTTCTAGCCCATTTCTGAACATCTGTAGTCTTTAACTGTATCAGTTATTTTGACCTCGAAATATGAATTGAATTCATTTATATTTAGAGCACCTAGCCCCAAGTACACAAAGGAAACTTAATGAATAAACCTTAAAGTATTTCGAACACTTCAAAGTTTCATCTAACTATATTATTCTAAAAAGTCAGCACAGGAAGTGAGATTCTGTCCTCCACCTAAAATATGAAATGGCATCCTGGTGAGATGGTTGAGTCCAGGGCAGGAGTAGTTCAAGTACAAAATAAGTCTGAAACATCTTGTCAAAATAAGAATTTTGTTTCAAAATCAACAGTTTTTTAAATGACAAAATTGAAATCGAGAGAGGCCCAGTACTTTCCCAAGTTCTATAGCAATAAAGTGTCAGAACTGAGACTCAAACTGTTAATAGAGCCATCTAGTATCACACACAGCACTGGGTGAAAAGACAGGTATGTTAATATCAGTCCAAATAATTCACTCCAAATTAATGATAAATTACACTTTTACTTGCTTAAACATTACCTCCTGGAATGAAGAGTAGGCTACAATAAGTTTTGTTAGTTATGAGAGTTGTGATTACTTCTGTGTTTTACCAAAATAATCCACTACAAGCTTAATCCTACTCAAAACGTCCGGAGTCAAGTTTTAATCTACATGTTGTTAAAAGGAATATCTGTCAAAGCTTAAAGCCAGCAAATGGTTAATTAAAGAGAATAAAGTCCTGGTACTATGAATGGATTCTCAAGAAGAAAACTCAAGACTCACTAATTTGCAATAATTTTTGAATTGCTGAGAGTAATTACTGGAATTATGAACTAGGTTAACTGTCTTGACAAATATTTCATAAGGTTTCCTAAGTTAAGAATAAGGTAACATTTTAAGTTTTGATGAAAAAAATTATCCCTGGTTAGGTACATTAACATTTCATTGTAGACAAACAACACCAAGATTTACAGTCTGAATTTTCTCTATACTCTGCCAAGTTCAGGATAGTTTTGTATTAAGTAACTGGCATGGATTTTCGCCCGATTTTCTTCAGTACTAGGGAAATAATTTGAGGCTTCTTAAGTTATAAAAGAGAAGGTAACAAACAGATAATAAGAAATAGTAATGGGAAGAAAACCTATAACCTCAACCTTTTTTTTTTTTTTTTTTTAAACCTCAACCATTTTAGCATCAAACAAACTTGCCTGGAGTTCAAACTAGGCCTTAGGAATTTGGGTTGTAGTTCTAATTTAAGTTGAAGATGTGTAAGGGGTGACTGAAAGATATGATGAATGTTTAAAACTTAAAAAAACACTACAGTAAAAGACAAGCCTGATGGGATAAATGTATTCCAATCAAGGTAGACTATTTAAAGAAGGGATTAATAGCAATATCTTTTACTGTACTACATTTTAAAATTTAAGCCTTAATTGTATTTTATGATCATCCCACATGGATTGGTTAGGCATTTATGGCTATTTTTATGAAGTGAAAAAAATTACAGTAGATTTTCAACTAATTTATTCACTAGATCTGCCATCCTATGCCTTTGTATCTTTCCAAAGTCAGAATGACCACAATATATCAACATTTCAATTGATTGAGAACATCAAGGCAGTCATGACAGCCCAACTAAAGACACTCACTAAAGAGGACTTCCAAGGGCTGGCAAGATAGCTCAATGGACTAAGTGCAGGGACTGGGGCTCGATTCCCAGTACCCCATGCCCTGCCAACCCTGCCCTCCAGCATGCTGAGCTAGCAACCAGAGTTCAGGCATGGTGATGCTTGCCTGTAATCCCAGCACTGGCAAGGCTGAAAACAGGAAGATCACTACGAGTCTGAGCTGTGTGGTGAGACCCTGTACTAAGCACATAAAAATTAAAAAAATAAAATAACAAATAAAGAGGACTTCCAGAGCTGCTCTAGGGAGTAGCAAGAGGCTGGGAGAAGTGTTCAGATCTACGGGGTATACTCTAAGAGGAATTAATGGCAACATGTGTTTTCTCTAACAGATTTTTAAAATTTTTCAATATTTACTGTATTGACACACCTCCCAAGCGCAGTGGATCTTTTGCTTCTTCTCAGCCCAGGTGAGGAGCTGACTTCTGTAGACCTGGTGAGCGTTTGTTACCTGGCTTTCCATTCTGGCCATCCTTGTGGATGTGGTTAGTTCTGACAGGCACCTTCCTAGTGGCTGCAGATGCCGAGCAACTGTGTCTAGCAGCCATCTGTGTACCTTCCTCAGAGAAACGTCTTTCCAGATCCTTTGTCCCACTCTTTAACTTGGATTATTTGTCCTTTTATAACTGAATTTTAAACTTCTTCCCAACTTTCTTTCAAAACATTTTATTTTTTAAATTTTTTTGTGGAACCGGGGATTGAACTCAGGCCCTTGAGCTTGCCAGGGAAGCGCTTATTCTGCTGAGCCATCTCCCTGGCCCTCAAAACATTTCTTTTTTGCTAAACACAGGCAGTTGGCTGCTTGTTACTGAGAATCTTGCCTGAAACATACTGCTTTTCCCTCTTCATGACAATTCCTGTCATGCTTTCAAGGGATACTGTAAGGAAAATCTCAACGAGAACATGGAAGTTTTCTTGGTTTCATGGAAAACAAAAGAGGAAGAATGTTTCCCAGGAGAGTTCTTATGTGCATTCACATGTGGAAGACAGAGCATGAAACACTTTGGAGGGCTTATATTCACCATTTACATTTTCCTAAAAATAATCTGTATAGATGAAGCCCGCATGCATTTCTTTGATTTCAACACCATTTTATGCCACGCTCTAAATTACCCTTA